GGACAGTGTTTGCTGAAAATATTCTCAAAGATCTGCTATGATGTCCTATTTTTATCTTTCCTGGGATGATTGACCAGAACCACTGTTAAATGACAAACAGTTGTACAGTGTTTTCTAGTCAGAGGGGAGAAAGGCACCAAATGTATCTTTACATAAATTTGCTTAGGTTTATAAAAAATAAAAGCAGTCTTTACCATTGTGATGGTAAATGGTTAAAAATAGACACTTAGTGAATATTGAGTTATATATTTTAGGGTAATAAAAATACATTATATAGCTATACACATATTAGAACATGTGAAATACAAGCAAATGGATGAAATAGGTCCCCTCATTCTGCTTAGAATACAAAATGGTACAGCCATGTTGGAAGAAAATTGGCAGTTCTTACAAAGATAAACTGAGTCTTACCTGTGACTGAGTAAGTGTACTCCTAGGTATTTTTATTCAACTGTTCCAAGAGCTCATGTTACACAAGAAACTTGCATGTAAATATTTATAGTAGGGTTATTTATGACTGTTCCAAACCAAAGGCAATCAGAGTGTCCTCCAATAGTGAATGGATAAACACATTGTGGTATCTCCTAATAATAGAATATATTTGTGGTAGTTTGAAAGAAAATGGCCTCCAGGAGGCATGGCTTTGTTGGAGTGGGTATGACCTTGTTGGAGGAAGTGTGTCACTGTGGGAGCAAGCTCTGAGGCTTCCTGTACTCAGGATACCACCTGGTGTCACTGTCTGTTGACTTCCTGTTGCCTACAAGATGCAGCACTCTCAGCTCCAGCACTACATCTGCCCGCACGCTGCCATGGTCTCCACCATGATAATGGACTGAACCCCTGAAACTAATCGAGCCACCCCAATAAAGTGTTTTCTTTGTAAGAGTTGACGTGGTCATGGTGTCACTTCACAGCAATAGAAAACCCTAAGACAATATTTAAAAAATAGGAGCCACCAGGACACAGAAAGATGCTTATTGCCAAGTGAAAGAAGCCAATCTGAAAAGTCTACATACTACATGGTACTGACACATGACATTCTAGAGAGGGCACAACTAGAGAGATGAAAATGGTGAGGGGTTCCCAAGGAGTTAGGGAGAATGAATAGGCTGTGCATTAGATTACATGTGAGTGTCTACATCCCTCCTGACAGGCTTCCCTTTGCCATCATCTTCAACATCCTTTCTCTTCTTGTGGTGTGGTGAATGACTGCTAGGCTGGATTGGGGTAAATTCTTTTTTGATTTGCAGTGCAGGTCTCTCACATGCAAGTCAAAGACTCTACTATTGAGACACAGGCCCAAATGCGTAGTATGAACTTGAAAGGAAGGGACCTAGAAGTTACTGTAATCTCAGAATGCATAAAATTGTGCCCAGCTATAGTAAAAATAGTAATTGGTACAAGGATAACCAGTAGACTAATATACCATGGTACGGAAACCAGAAAATGACATGTGGAACATTTAATTTATGGTAGGTGTGACAATAATGAGCAATGGGGAAATGAAGTCTCTTCCCCACAGAACATACACACTCAAACACCATAAATCACCATGTGAAGTAAACCACTAAATGACTCTTGACTTTAAGAGGACCACAGAACAGAAATGAAAACAAGGCTAGTATCACATAAAAAATAAAATTCAGCTCAACATGTTCTTAAATATAAACATATATAGTCCCAAATGCATTTAAAAGTATTTTAAAACTGAAGCAGTTAAAGGCCCCCATCGAAGGGAGCTAGAACGTGAACAACCTAAGACAATAAAATACTCAGGCTTAATATTTTGCTATATTTACTTCAAGATTAAAAACAAAACAAAATAAAACTTGATGCTACGTTTGGAGGTCCCCCTTAGTACCCAGCTTGCCTCTTTGGAGGAGGCAGCCATTCCATTGTTGCAAAGTTAGTTTCTCCCAGAAGCAGATGCAAAGCAAATGAGTAAGCAAGGTTGATCTGGGAGGCCACAGACAATGGCAAGGAAGAGGGACCCGGGTCAGGAGAAGAGAGGCAGCCACTCTTGCTCTGTGGGGAGGCTCTGGGAAACGATCTCAGTAATGAGAAATGGACCTGGGGTATGACACCCCCATGCCCATTGCTCACTCCATTTCTAATCTATGTGAGGGAGCAAGGTCTCCAGCTGAGGGAAAACTCTTGAGAAAGTTGATGGCTGCTGGAAATTAGGATGGTGTGTACAAAAATGGCATGGAATACAAAGTAACACATGTGGGACACTGGGAACATCTGCAACCATCCCTCAGATGTCTACTTTTCTAGAGTAGTTAAATGTTATCAGTCTCTATGATATTACATTGTTAATGCCATTGACAATGTTTATGGGAAAATGACTATATATGTAAATTGGTTTTACAATTATTATTTATAGTCAATGCAAAAACGAAGATGGGGGTTAGAGAACAGTTCAGAGGTTAAGGGCCCACACTGCTCTGGAAGATCTGAGTTCAGTTCTGAGCACCCACATCAGGTGGCAAACAACCGCTATGAACTCTCCAACTCCCTCTCTGGACTCTGTGGACAGCAGGTATATATATACACACACTCGCACAAAGATACACACACATACGCATAAATAAAAAGGGAAGACAGTTCAGTTTAAAGAGTTGTTTAACTAAAAAAAAAAAAAGTTGTATCATGACCTTAAGGGTGCCCCTTAAGAGAAATAATGGCAAAGAAATAAATCCCATACAATGATGATTTATTTTTGTTTGGTTTCATACCTCCTTAGACTTTGACAAAGTATAATTTTCTCCCTCATCTATCCTTCTCTCCCTCTGACTCTAAGCCTGCAGGCTGTTAGGCTTAAATTGTGGCTGATATATAAGATTGCAGGTCTTGGCTAAGAAGGTTATTTACCATCTAAAGTCTTTTCTTAGCCTTCAATCCATTGGCCTTTCTGTTGAAAGGTAATGAGATGTATGTATGTGGTAGGGTGGGGGTGAAATGGAAGGGTACCACAGAGAGTCAAATCCCAATCCCAACTAATGACCTGGCTGTCCATTAACGCAGGAGCTACTCAGCACAGCCAGGAATGCTTGGTCTCTTTTGTCCCTTACTACCAAAGGACCTGGGAAGTCACAAAATGAAGCCACAAAACAATATGCTTCCTATTTCTTTTTCCAGGGACCAGAGGGATTTAAAATAATCTTTAAGTAATACTCCTCTCAGACCCTAGCACTGTGTAAACAGACTCCCTATTTAAGAACTAGCAGATAGAAAAATAGCCCCAAAAGATCCAGTAATCTAGTAGAAGCTTTCTAAAGAATCAGAACAGACACATATAAAACTAACATCAGCCGGGAGTTGGTGGAGCATGCCTTTAATCCCAGCACTCGGGAGGCAGAGGCAGGCTGATCTCTGTGAGTTCGAGACCAGCCTGGTCTCCAGAGCGAGTGCCAGGACAGGCTCCAAAGCTACACAGAGAAACCCTGTCTTGAAAAACCAAAATAAATAAATAAATAAAACTAACACCATCAAACAAACAAACAAACAAACCCGAGCCAGATGTGGTATTGCACACTTCTAGTCCTGGCTACTCTGAAGATCACATCAACTCATGAGTTTGGGACCAACAAGACCCTCTCTCAAAAACAACAACAACAACAACAAAAATGAAATTTCACTTTGAGACTCAGAAAGATACACAACAAATTTCATGTTTCAGATAAAAATGATTATAGATTTGAAAGCCTAGGTATGATAGTGAGCTACAGAGTGGACTTGGATCAGAAATTACACAACAAGAATATTAATGCTGTAAAACATATTGGTAAAAACTAACTTTTAGGAGCTACATAAATCTAATATTTAAAATAGTAGTGGTTAGGGCTAAGGAGATGGCTTATTGTACAAGAGTGAACACTGAAGTTTAAATCCTCAGAAACCTATGCAAATGCCCAGTGGGCATGGTGTCCCACCAGTAATTGAGCCTCTGAAGGCAGACAGGGGATCCTCAGAGAACGATTAGCTATATCAGTGAGCTGTGGGTTTGATTGAGAAACCCTACCTTCAATGAATAAGATGGGAAGAGTGACTCAGGATGATTCCTGACATCAACCTTAGGCTTCCACATGCACATATACACATGTATAACACACACACACACACACACACACACACACACACACACAAGTAAAAGTAGTAATGTTTCCATAAAGCAATATTCTACTGTTTTCTACTTGATTCCATGTCCATAAAAAAAATTTAGAAAAGTAGAGCTGGGAGATAGCTTAGTAAGTACAAGCATACAGACCTGAGTTCAAGCTCCAGAATCCACATACAGAAGCTGGGTACAGTGGTGTAATGTTCATAATCCCAGCAATGGGGAAGTGGAGAGAGGAGGATCCTTGGGGGCTCATTGGCCAGCCAGCCTAGTCTACTTGGTGAGCTCAAGGTCAGTGAGGAGATCTCTCCCAAACCAAGGATGGCGCCTGTGGAACAACACCTGACCTCCACATGCACCCTTGCCTACATGTGTGCCCACACAGACACACACCATTTATAACAGTAAATAAGAAAATGCATCATGTACAAGCACATTTAAACAGTATGTTACAGTAGGAAAAATGTCACATAGAACCACTTTTCTTATTTTTTAAAAATGCTTTAGTTACTCTGTCAGAAACTCTGAATCCAGAACAACTGTTCTTTGTTTGTGTGTCTGTGTCTGTGTGTGGTTTTTAAAGACAGGGTTTCTCTGTGTGTAGCCTTGACTGTCCTGGAACTTACTTTGTAGACCAGGCTGGTCTCAAACTCAGAGATCTGCCTCAGCCTCCAAAGTGCTGGGATTAAAGGCTTGTGCCACCACACCTGGCACAGAACCACCGTTCTTAGCTTTAAAATATATTTGACTTTATCAGAAACTTTGAATTCTCTTTTAGAAAACCATGCTTTGGTACAACACAAAATTGGTGTAAAATTCCAGGAAGACATGGGGTCCCCAAAGCCACAGAGGTTGCATGTTTAGCCCATCAGCCTCTGTCTACAAAACAGGAGTCTTATATTTGACACACACTTACGTTGTAGAGAGGGATAGTCTTCATCACTTTGTACTGCTTTGTGGGGTCCATTTTATACAGGTGACGGTCAGTGACAAAAATTGCTCGGTCTTCTACCTTACTAAATCGATTCACCTGTAAGAAAACAAACCAGTAAGCCATAGTATCTCATAAAAAAGGGAGCCAAGTTGTGTTTGGAAATACCTAGGTTCAGAGGAGGCTGACCATGGGGATGAAGTCTCAGCAGAAAGTCACCATGGATGGCACTCTATGATTTCAAGGAATAGTTTCCAGATGTGTAGAGTTTAGCAATACAATTTTTTTAAATAGCTACAGCAAATGTAGAATTTGGGGACTAGAAATATGAACTCTAGACCCCATTAAGGAAGTGAATACAACTACCTATAGACAGGGAGAAAAGTTTCAGTGAATCACCTGTCTGATAAGGGACTTGTATCTAGAACAAATAAAGAACTAATTTAACTCAGTAACTATCAGATAATCCAGTTGTTACCATTTATGCCGGAAGCCCTGGCTATCATAAGGAGCTGAGATTAATATTTGGGGATGAGAGCAATATGCAATAAATGAAAATAAAAATATGAAGAAAACAAAAATGATAGTATGAAAAAATATACTTGTGTTTCGGCAGACCACTACTTTACCAGACAGATGGTCAGAGAATGCCCTAATTTACAGATACTTTGCTCTCCTAAGAGTTAAAATTAACCGAGGTACATTGTACAAATTATGGCTAGTTATTTGTTGAGATAGTTCTGATAATATTTTAATCAAGGTACCTGGATTAACATTTAAAAACAGGTTTATTTATTCATATATTTATTTAATGTATGTGTGTGTGCCTATGTGAGTTTATATGCACCATGTTGATGCAGGTGCCCTTGAAGGCCAGAGGGTGTTGATCCTGTGGAACTGGAGTTATAGGTACTTGTAAGCTGAATGATATGGGTGTTAGGAACTGAGCCTGGATCCTTTGAAGGTCAGTATGTGCTCTTAACCTCTGAGCTCTCTCTCCAGCCCCATTTTTCTGGTCCTCTACAATGTCAAGCTTCTCACTGATTGAGAAAGGCAAGGAGACAAAACAAAATGAGCACAAGAAACCTCTACTCTGACAGAAGGCATACTGTGATATACCATGTCATTCATACACACACACACACACACACACACACACACACACACACACATTTTTTTAAATCCGGGCAGTGGTAGCACATGCCTTTAATCCCAGCACTTGGGAAGCAGAAGTAGGCTGATCTCTTTGAGTGCTAGGCCAGCCTGGTCTACAGAGTGAGTTCCAGGACAGGCTTCAAAGCTACAAAGAGAAACCCTGTCTTGGAAAAAAAATAAAAAATGAATATGTATGTATGTATGTATGTATGTATGTATGTATGTATGTATGTGTATATATATTTATATATCCTCTATATTCTTTGCACATCGCCTCTGTTCTTATTTCCAAGGTACGAACAAAGAAATGAGAGGTTGATTTGAAAACACTGTTTTGGTGGGATATTCAGATAGCTGCATTCAGACAGGCATGGCAGGACAGTGCACTATGCATAGAATGTAGCAAACTAAAATTCAAACTTGACATGGAAATTTACCTTATCCCCTTTGCCTTGATTTTAGACATCAGTCAATTCCCTAAACATTTGTTCTATAATAAAAGCATAGTTTTTAGTCTTCAACATGACATCAAATTGTGCCTATGACTTAAGTAGAATCTATGTGATAAGCGTATAGTTTGTTTTCTTGGAGGCATAGACTTGTTTTTGTCAGGACAGACAACTGGTACTTCCCAGAGTGTGGAGATCCACTTAGCCATTCTGCACAGCACTGGCTTTATGCAGAACTTTTCAAAAGAAAGGATTCCTGGCCTACCTGGACCAGCGGATGGAGGCCAGGTTGCCTCTGGGTGTTCAGTGTTTGGAGAATTAACAGCACAACTGAAAGCTTTAGAAAACAAAGAAGCTAATACCCCCCGGAGGAGCAGACACCAGGAAATAATCAAATTGAGGGCTGAAATCAATAAAATGGAAACTAGGAGAACAATACAAAGAATCAATATAACAAAAAGTTGGTTCTTCGAGAAAATCAACAAAATAGACAAACCTTTATTCAAACTTACCAAACAACAAAGAGTGAACATGCAAATTAATAAAATCAGGAATGAAAAGGGGGACATAACAACAGACACAGAGAATCATCAGGTAGATTTTATTTATTTATTATGTATACAGCCTTCTGCCTGCATGCAGATCTCATTCAAGGTGGTTGTGAGCCACCATGTGGTTGCTGGGAATTGAACTCAGGACCTCTGGAAGAACAGTCAGTGCTCTTAACCGCTGAGCCATGTCTCCAGCCCTACCAAACTCTTTTTATGAGGCCACAATAACCTTGCTACCCAAGCTACATAAGGACACAACTAAGAAAGAGAACTACAGACCAATATCCCTCATGAACATTGATGCAAAAATTCTCAATAAAATATTGGCAAAATGAATCCAAGAACACATCAGAGAAATCATCCATCCCGATCAAGTAGAATTCATCCCAGGGATGAAAGGATGGTTCAACATACAAAAATCCATCAATGTAATCCACCATATAAACAGACTGAGGGAAATAAATCACATGATCATCTCACTAGATGCCAAAAAAGCCTTTGACAAAATCCAACACCCCTTCATGATAAAGGTCCTGGAGAAATCAGGGATAACAGGAACATATCTCAACATAATAAAAGCAATATACAGCAAGCCAACAGCCAACATCAAATTAAATGGTGAGAAACTCAATGCAATTCCTCTAAAATCAGGAATGAGACAAGGCTGTCTACTCTCTCCATGCCTCTTCAATATTGTCCTTGAAGTTCTAGCTAGAGCAATAAGACAACAAAAGGAGATCAAGGGAATACAAATCAGAAAGGAAGAAGTCAAACTCTCACTATTTGCAGATGATAT